AGTATGATTGTAGTTTTTCTTAAGAAGTTAATGATAGACCAAGAGAGCTCATCATTCACAAATGAGAGAAATGTAAGTCACAGATTGGAAATCCTGAGGTATATTTTTCAAAGTAATATAAATCTGACACGGATTACTTTCTGTGCAACAGGGCTGTCACAGGGCACTGAGGTGCCCTGTTCCTAAAAAGGGGAAACTGCCGGGGAAAGGGCCCTAGCAGGATATAAGGAGCCCAGCTGTGGGTTGCCAGGGCAACCGGGAGGTCAGCTGACTGAAAGGGGCAGGGCCTGGCTCCTATATAACTCACAAGCAGAAGGCCAGGGGCAGTTCCCTGCCAGCAGCTGGAGAGAAAGGAGCTCCCTGAGCAAAGATGTGAGAATTGTAGGTACAGCCCAGGCCAGGTAAAGGATGGCAGTTCTGGGATGTTTGAGCAATGTGGTTTCAGCCGAGCGGCTTTAAGTTATAACCTAGGGGCTTGTGTTTTGCTTTGTTGTTGTATCACCGGTGGTTTGGGTGAGGCTATTAGGGGTTAGAGGAGGCCTCATAGGGGACCCACAGCAGTGTGGGGACCCCAGCGCCAGTAAGGGCGCTGCGTACGGGGTGCATAGACCTGAGCCCCAGAGAAGGGCAGTTGAGAAGCCCTAGTGCAGGCATGGCAAGCCCCAGAGAGGGGGCATTACTGAGAAGCCCCAGTGCGGGCATGGTGAGCCCCGGAGAAGGGGACAGCAGTGCGGTGAGCCCCGGAGAAGGGAGTAGCATTGCGGTGGACCTCAGGAGAGGGGCAGCATTCCGGAGAAGGCCCAGTGTGGCCACGGAGAGCCCCAGGAGGGGGCAGCAGTACTGAGGAGCCCCAGAGAAGGGGGCAGTGTTACCAAAAAGGGGCAGCATTGTGGAGAAGGCCCTGGAGAGAAGGGCAGCGTTATTGAGAAGGCCCCAGAGAGGGCGACGCTGCAGAGGAGCCCTGAGAGAGGGCAGCGCTACAGAGAGGGCCCCGAGGGAGGGCGAGTGTAGACCTAACAGAACAACGTCTATTCCACCTGCAAGGCTTGGGGTGTGGTATTGGGGTGGTAGGAGCCACGCATAGCCCATAAGGCTAGGGTGCCCAGGAAGCACCCATGGTAGAGCAGACCCCATAAGGGGTCTGGGAAACCACGGGGTCTGAATCATCACCGAGAAGTGACCAAGAGGGCATAAGGCAGCCTCCCAAACTTATTTAAACATCAAAGACGTGGTGGGCGAGAATCAGAGGGTGCCCTTGGGCCGACTTGGCACGGAGGAAGGGGGCCTTAAGGAGATCACGGTCCTCCGGTAGGGCCCCGCCGTGGCAAGGGCATTTCAAATACACTAATGACTTTGAAAATGGATAACAGTCCCTTTTAGTTTTCTGGGGGTTTTTTTTTTAATATCCCTTCTCAGTTCAGTGTATGTATGCAATAATAAACTTCTATTTAAATTATCTGCGTGCCCCATGCCTTGAGGCAGACCCAGGCAAACATTTTTCCATATTAAAGTTACAACTGTTGAGCTGACTGTCAGAAAGGTCTGACAGCATATAAACAAGGAAGACAACTTTATATTACTAATATATATGTGTGGCTGTCGGGCCTCAAACACCCGGTCACGTGCGGCTTTGCTTCATATGATGGGTGATGTTTGTCTCGCACGCTCTTGTTGCTGACCGAGTAGTTGTTCACTCCAGAGGTGGTTTGCCCATATCTTTCCTGCCATGACTTTGAATGTTCCCAGTGGGGGCTGCCTCCTCGGGGTCTCTTGGTCGGGTGTAGTCTGTCTGACGGTCACTTACGGGGCTCTGCCACCCCTGCACCCCGTCCTTACTTTGCCTTGCCGGTTGGATGGGCCAAGTCCCTCCTCTGTTGTGGTCGAGGGTATCAGGCTAATCCCTTGTCCTGGATTCCTTCTTTTATACCCAACTGAAGAACCTGCGCTTGGTCAGTACCTATCTTGGCCTCATGGATTGTATCACAATGTGGATCCCTAAGGTTCCTGCCCCAAAACACTCGGTTACCTGGGCCCTTTCTCTTTTCTTCTTCTCAACCCCTTCGCTCGGGGGAAAAATAAAAGAAAAACAAAATCACAGTTAAGCCCTGGGGCCCC